ATAAATGTATTGAGGCGGATGGTATGATGGGACTGCCTATGATGGCATATAGCCAATCTACGACTGCTAGCAGCAAAAATCCCCAACGGCAAAAATCCCCAATTGGCTCCCAGTTATCTTCCTTGTGGGTCTTGCCCACATGCTCAGGGTCTAACCGATTGCCATATTTGGGGTCGGGAAGGAATTTTCCCCCAGGTCAGATTGGCAGAGACCCTGGTGGTGTTAGGTCTTCTTCTGCAGCATGGGGCAGGGGGCACTTGCCATTTTAAAATAGTGTAAATGATGTGTAAATAGTGTAACTTGGAGTCTTTAAACCATGATTTGAGGACTTCAGTAACTCAGCCAGAGGTTGTGGATCTATGACAGGAGTGGGTGGGTGAGGTTTTGTGGCCTGCAAGGTGCAGGAGGTCAGACTAGCTGGTCATGATGGTCACTTCTGACATCAGTAAGTGTATCTGAGTAAGAATATAACCAGTATCCCTTAAGTGACTTACCACAAGATGACAGAACATGTTAGTATTAGAGCTGAGTGGGTCTAATATTTAATTTTCTTTCTTGATATAGGAATTAGACACAGTGCTCCTGTCAGATAATTTCTAAGTTATTATCTGCAACAACAACAAAAAAAACCCTAGAGTTTTCAGTTGCTCGTGTAGTCCCTGGAATCATGGTTAAAGTTGCCCCCCACCCCAAAAAAATCTGAAATGGTGCCCCAGTGGGCAGGCCTGGAATTTGCCCCCTGCACACACATGCGGCCCCATTGGCCTGACTGGAGCACACCCCCGAAAATACAGAAGTCAAACTCTGCCTACGGCTGTGCACCTTTCTCTAGCTTCAGGCAAACTCCACCTAGAGTTTTTCCCCTAGATCAGATTGGCAGAGACCCTGGGGGGGGTTCACCTTCCCTTGCAGCATGGGGCCAAGGTCACTTGCTGGTTTAAACTAGGGTAAATGGTGGATTCTCCATAACTTGGAGTCTTGGAGGATTCTCCATAACTTGGAGGACTTCAGTAACTCAGCCAGAGGGTATGAGTCTATTGCAGCAGTAGGTGGGTGAGGTTCTGTGGTCAGCCTAGAAGATGACCACGATGGTCCCTTCTGGCTTTAAAGTCTTGGAGAATCAGTGTCAACATGAACTCAATCACTGATCATTCTAGTGGGTAGGGTGGGAGCTGCTGCGGGGGGGGGGAGGGAGGGGGGAGGGAAATGCAGAGGACAGGACAGAGGAGACTGAGAGAGCAGGGAGAAGGAGAGAAACAAAGGGTAGGAACAACAGTGGCCACAAAGGGAACAGACTTTTCTCCCTGATGACAACTGCAGCAGTAACACCTGTGCTAACAGTAAATAAATGTTCAGTCGCTACAAACAGGCTGTACTATCCCCTCAATGTCTGTGCAAACCACATCAGACACCAGTGGGTGTTCCGGGGGGAATATATACACCTGCAATGATGCTCCAGTCCCAGGCACCATAATTACCCTAGAATTCCACCATCTCCCCTCAGTGCGTTTGACACCCCTGCTCTCGTCCATCTCCACGGGCCAGGACAGCATTGTTACCTGTGCCGCTCGTACTCCGACTGCTCTAGTTTTAAATGTCTCCCGCAATGGAGTGTCTTTCCCTTGTCCTTGGGACTCTGTTCCACGGCCCATTACAGCTCACCGTTAGGAAGTGCCTGCTGATATTCAACCTAGATTCTCCTTGGCTAATTGTTCATAAATCTTCCTTTCTATGATGGCTTCTTGCTCTCGGTTTAACTAGTAACAGTGCTCTTGGGACGAACGAGCCGGCGTTGCGGGGGTTATATTGCTTTCTGTAAATACATCTCCCTTCCAGTGGTTCTTCTAGTCCTTCATTTTCTACCTGTGATATAGTCCTTCTAGGGCTGTCAGTTAAGCACAGTTAATTTTGTTTTCAATTAATTGCAGGCGTTAACTTTTTTTGGTCAATTAATCGCATACCTCTGGGCGGGGAGGGAGACATGGGTGGGGGGGGGTATGGGGCTAAAGCTGCAGCCCACAGCTCTGTGGGCAGCTGAGGAGGGGCGGGGCTAGAGCCCCGAGCAGGGCTGGAGCCCAGAGCCCCACACCCTGAGGGGGGATGAAGCCTGGAGCCAGCTCTGGCTCCAGGGTTTTGGCCGCCCCAAGCAGAACTAAAAAAAAAAAAAAAAAAGACCGTGATCGCGATCTGCGGCGGCAGTTTGGCGGGAGGTCCTTCGCTCCGAGCAGGAGTGAGGGATCGTCCGCCGAATTGCCACCGAATAGCTGGATGTGCCGCCCCCCTCCGGAGCGGCCGCCCCAAGTACCTGCTTGCCAGGCTGGTGCCTGGAGCTGGCCCGGCCTGGAGCCCCATGCCCTGATCCCCCTGCCCTGAGTGGAGCTGAAGCCCTAAGCCCCCTGGGGCTGAAGATGGGGGGGAGTCACTTTTTTTTAAGTCCAAATGGGGTCACCAGCACAAAAAGCCTGATAACTGCTGCCATAGAGAACAGGGGCCTGGCAGCTCAGCCTCCCTGCCCCAGCCTCTCCTCGCCGGCCACCTGCAGAGTCCCTGAGGTCAAATCCACCCTCCCTTGCAAACAAGGGAGTTATGTAAACATCATAATCGTTCATTTGTAAGTTCACCTTTCATGATAAAGATTGCCCTGCAATACGTGTCTGAGGTGAATTGAAATGCTATTTCTTCTGTTTGTCTTTACTACAGTGCAAACATTTGTAATCAAAATGAATACTCTAAAGCGAGCGCTGTGCACTTTGTGTTCTGTGTTGTAATTGAAATCAGTGTATTTGAAAATATAGAAACCCCCCCAAAAATATCTTTTAAAAAAGTATTCAGTTATTGCTTACCAGTGCGATTAACACTGCAGTTAATCGCGATTCATTGTCTTAATCGCTCGACCGCCCTAATTCCTAGATAATGAGTCTGACCAACCATTGCACGTATCGGCCCCAACCAAGAGCAGCGCCCCCTTGTGCCAAGCGCCGCATGAGATCGGAGTGAGGCAGCCCCGGCCGCAAAGGCGGTCTAGATAAGACAAGGCAGACAGACCACGGGAGGGGAAAAGAGAGATGAAGTGACTTGCCCAGGATCACACAGTGAGTTAGTGGCAGGGCTGGGAGCTGGGAATAAAAGTCAGGTCTCACGATGCCCCGCTCGCCTCCCCTGGTCTCAGTTCCTTCGGGTCGGTTGTAAACACCTCCCCCCCCCGCCGGTGGTTTTGTCCCGAACGCTCCCAGCGAGGCTCAGATTTCAGCGGCTGGTTCGCTCTCACATTTGTGCTTTTTGAGTCTCGTTCTAGCCAGGCTCGCCCAAGGCACGAGGCAGTCAGTCTGGGGACCTCCTAGTGGCTCCGGAGCCTCTCTAGCACGGGACCCGATCCTGTGAGCTCTCCCAGCCCGTGAGGTATTGAGCTCCCACCAGACACTCAGGATGGGGTTCACAGAGCCTCGCATGGCAGTGACGTTATCCTGCCCACTAACCACACAGCCCCTGTGCCAGCAGGGCTGGTCAGAGCACGGTCGCAGGGCAGACCACACAGCTGTGGGCTGGATCCAAGTCACTGCGGCTCCAGCAGGAATGGATTTGACGCAGGGCGTCTGGCCCCGCTTGCTCTCTTGCGCCAGTGACGACCATTCTCAGACACTGGAGTCGTAACTCACCAGAGAACCTTCCGCCTCGACCCGGTGTCTTTTATGATTCAGTAGATAAACAGTTATCGTTAGCACAACAGCGTGTCCCGGCCTGACGCGCTCCGGGGGCATGGCCTGCCTGTGGGAAGCAGCAGCCAGCAAACTTCCTGGGACAAAGGGACAAAGTGAGCCATCGCCAGTTCTGGGCCATTTTACACTAGGTAACATCTTCCATACGTGCTCTGTTTACCATTGCTTATTGGGGACCATGTTCTCACTTGACTGTAGCTCAGTTGACTTCAGTGGAGCGATGCTGCTGCTGATTTATGCCAGGTGAGTGTTTATATTACACTAGCGCCCAGAGACCCGGGTCGGGACCAGCCACCCACTGTACCAGGCCCTGTGTGAACACAGAGGTAGACACAGTCCCTGTTCCCAAAGAGTCTAAAATCTAGCTCTCCCTAAGGGCTTTATACCCTTGAATGAATTTGCTTGGAGAGTGGGATAATACAGTGGAGGGAAAGAGATGGAGACATGTTTTTAGAGGCATGGCGAGATGGCAGCAGCTGCAAGGCAGAAGGCACTTGCACCGACAGCGCGGCAATGGGAAGGAGAAGGATTGTCGTGTAGTTAAAGCACTGGATTGGGATCCAGGATAGCTAGGTTTGATCTGTGGCTCTGACACACACTCACTGTGTGGCCTTGGGCAAATAATTTAATCTCTGTCTGTCTCAAAGCCCCACGGGCGGCTAACCCTTCCTTGCTCTCACTTTTTGTCTCTCGTCTGTTTTCATTGGCTGCGCCTCAGTGCAGGGACTCACTGTGCATGTGTACAGCACCTAGCACAATGGGGCTGTGATCTTGCATGGGGTCTCTGGGCCCAGAGTGGTATTAATACATCATGAGGGGAGGGGAGGAGGCTGGTGCTAGGGGAATGGAGAAGAGACGAGGTCCATGAAGGAGATTGAAGCGAGAGGAGCAATTCTGTGCAGTTGGGGGCTGGGTGGTCATGGAGAGGGGTGGGGGGAGGACAGGAGAGCAGCCTCACTAAATCAAGACGGGAGGAGACGCTATGCTCTGGCTTCGCGAGTAGTTCTGAGGTCAATGCAGGAGTCCCTGGGTGAAATCCTCTGGCCTGGGCTATGCAGGAGCCTTAGATGATCATATTGGTGGCCCTCAGATCTATGAGCTGGACCTTGAGCTGAATGAAGGGCCAGTGGGGTCATTTGGGGGATGGGGGTGATGTGCTTGTGCTCCTTGGTCCGGGGCTAGTTTGATGTCAGCATGGCTATCATGCGTGCCGGTTTATCGACGTGACGCATGGTTCCTGGTATGGAACGAGTTCCTGACTGTCCTGTTCTGTTTTGCTTGCAGGCGCTTCTGGTCCAGAAAGCCCGCTAGGTCTAGGCCGAGCCCTGCACGGAGATGGAGAATTACACCGTGGCTGCGGCGACGAACTCCTGCACCTTCCATGAGGAGTTCAAGCAGATCCTGCTGCCCCTGGTCTACTCCGTGGTGTTTGTGGTGGGGCTCCCCCTGAACTTCATCGTCATTGTGCAGATCTGGCTCTCCAGGAAGGTGCTGACCCGCACTGCTATCTACATGCTGAACCTGGCCACAGCCGACCTGCTGTACGTGTGCTCCCTGCCGCTGCTCATCTACAACTACACGCAGAAGGACTACTGGCCCTTCGGGGACTTCACCTGCAAGTTCGTCCGCTTCCAGTTCTACAGCAACCTGCATGGCAGCATCTTGTTCCTCACCTGCATCAGCGTCCAGCGCTACCTGGGCATCTGCCACCCTCTGTCATCCTGGCACAAGAAGAGGGGCAAGAGGTTCACCTGGATGGTGTGCGGCGGGGTGTGGGTCATCGTCATCGCCCAGTGCCTGCCCACCTTCGTCTTCGCCTCCACGGGCATCCAGAGGAACAGGACCGTATGCTACGACCTCAGTCCCCCGGACCGCTCCGCCAGCTACTTCCCCTACGGCATGACGCTGACGGTCACGGGGTTCCTCATCCCCTTTGTCTCCATCCTGGTGTGCTACTGCTGCATGACCAAGCTGCTCTGCCAGAAGGATGAGATGATAGGCCTGGCCGTGCGCAAAAAGAAGGACAAGGCCATCCGGATGATCATCATTGTGGTCATCGTCTTCGCCATCAGCTTCTTCCCCTTCCACCTGACCAAGACCATCTACCTGATCATCCGCTCCTCGGCGGGTGTGCCCTGCCTGGCCTTGCAAACCTTCGCCATCGCCTACAAGTGCACCAGGCCCTTTGCCAGCATGAACAGCGTGCTGGACCCCATCCTCTTCTACTTCACCCAACGCAAGTTCCGGGAGAGCACGCGCCACCTGCTGGACAAAGTGAGCTCCAAGTGGAGGCACGACACATGCCGCACCTACAAATCGTAGGCTCCAGGGAAAGGAGAATGAGGGGGGATGTTCTGCTGCGCGGAGGCAGAGGACTGAATGGCTGTGGCTTTATCGCAGCCAGCCCTGCTTTACCCAGCAACAGGGAGAGCGGGAGCAGGAGGCAAGGACTGATGGTCCTGAGCATAGCGCTGGGAGCCAGGAGCTTCTGAGTTCTATTCCCAGTTCTGGCCATGGGTGGGTCATTTGGCCTCTCTGTGCCTCAGTTTCCCCATCTGCAGAATAGAGAACAATACTCTGTAAATAATAGGTAAAATGATGCTGACCTGCCTCACACCTTGGTCAGGGCTCGGAAAGTGCTTTGAGGATGGACCAGGCTAAGAACAGTTTATCCTTAAAATTCCAGCAAATGGCCTGAGTGGGAAAGGTTACAGTACAGTTGGAAAGAGGAAAGTGAAAATAATTGGGAGCAGGCTTTGGGGCTGGGCGAGGTGGTGTCCGAACGCAGTATTAGTGCAGTTACTATGGTGCACCGCAGCTGTCACCTATGAGGAGGAGCGGCTGCTCAATATTAACCGCCGCTCGCTCTGTGGACTGACGATCCTTGCCACGGATCTCTGACTGGCAAAGCCCTAGCAACCACACGTGGGGCTTTGCAGTGAATTGTGCTACTGCCGCTGATTACAATGGGCCACAGTCCACGCCAGTGGAGTTGCGGCGCAGATGGGTTTGTCCCAGCGTGTTTCATTCAGAATGAAGTTTCCAGTGGATTTGGGAAATCCGTTATTAGCAAGTAGTTCAGTGGTTTACAACTACCTAGATTTTGTGGACAAAAATCTCTCCCCATGTCAGTCCCCTATAGAGATCACCTCTGAGAATGAGCAGTTCGGGAACGGGGGAATCAGCTGCTGCGTGCCAGTGCACGAATTACTGGGATCTGGTGAACTTATTAGGGTGACCAGACAGCAAGTGTGAAAAATCGGGACGGGGGTGGGGGGTAATAGGAGCATATATAAGAAAAAGACCCAAAAATCGGGACTGTCCCTATAAAATCGGGACATCTGGTCACCCTAGAACTTATCCACCAGCCAGTGTTTTTTCACTGCTTTGCCACAGTAATTCAAGTTTCCCAAGCAGAAAGCTGCGTTACTAATGCAAGGAAAACCTACCCTGGGAATTTAGAGAAGACAATAGGTCTCTTGGGACCACATGAGTCTACAAAAGGCTTGATCCATATGGGAGGGCAGGAAAAGGGAAATCTAGCGAGTACATCTACAGTATTATTGGCTGTTAACAATGAGGACACAGTCATTAAGCTAACCTGACTGCTACAGTCCGATTCAGTTCTATCTAGGTCATCTTACAACTCTCATCGCCGTAATATCTGAGCACCTTACGATGCGATCGTCCTGGTTTCTACTGTTTAAAGATTCACCAGTTGCCTGACTGGATCTAATAGGGCTCTGGTGTGTTTTTATTTTATTGTATTGTATTTTTGTGCACCCTCGTTAGAAAAGCATTCTCACGTCATCTCCAGCATTTTGAGCTAAGATCTAGTTCATGGGAAATTTAATCTTTTAAAAAGGAACTGGAAACCAGAATATTTTTAAAGAATTTCCAAGCTAACTGCCCTGTTTTTATGATACACTGGTTTAGTGTGTAGAAGCATGTCTCCCTCTAGTGGCAGATCCCAGATATAAGTCTGCTACTTAATTTAGCTCATGCAATAGAGACCTGTGTTTTTGAAGATGACAGGTTCAGTCCCTGCTGGAGTTAGCGTCTGCGCGGCCACATCTCATGACAGGCTGCACTAGGCTTTTTAAGCAAGTCAACTCTGTTGTGACACATCACTGAATAACATTTAATTTGGGGGTGGGAGTGGAAGAAATGATGGGAATGACTGTCAATGCTTACGCCTGGGATGGTTCTTGATCAGCAGCAGAAACTAACCACTGAGTATGTGCAGGGTATGAAATAAGAGTTGAAGAATTTAACTGAACAAAGGTGGAGTCAACATACTGGGCCAAACCCAGCCCTGGGGTAACCGAGCACCACTCGACTTAAATCACTTTGAAGTTGGTGGAGTTGCACCTGCTGACAATGGGGGTGAATTTGACGCAGTGGGAAAGAGTAGGTGCTGTATCTTCCCGGGCTGGGCGCATTTGAAATCAGTGTTGAGACAAGTAGCCAGACCTCTCCTAGGCACTACTCTGAACAGTAAGGTGCCATCTATCTACCAGCACGATCATGTCATAGCCACCCGTGACATTGTCCTCTGAACTATTTATGGGACGACTGCCCTCTTGGCCGATGTACCAGGGGTTGAACAGGGATCTCCAGAGCTGAAAGCATAAGCACTTACAGCGTGAGCTAAGGAACCTAGCTCCTCTAGTGGGTAGCTTCTATCGCTGCAGATCAGCACAGCAGAGGACCAGTAACACACACATACACACACCAGTGGATGCCACTTATGCCACACCTGGTATAGGCGCTGACTTCTACCCGCGCCGGTGGGTGCTTGACCCTCCTCTGCCCTGGCCCCACTCCGACTCCACCCCTGCCCCGCCCCCTCCCGCCCCTGCCCTGCCCCCATTTCAACCCCTTCCCCAAAGTCCCCACCCCAACCCCACCCTCTCCCTGCCCCTATTTGGACTCCTTCCCCAAATTCCCGCCCCGGCCCCGCCTCCTCCCCTGAACACGCCATGTTCCTGCTCCTCCCCCCTCTCTCCCAGAGCTTGCTACGCCACCAAACAGGTGTTTGGCGGCGGCAAGCACTGGGAGGTAAGTGGAGGAGCGGGGACGCGGCGCGCTCAGGGAAGGAGGCGGAGGTGAGGTGGGGCGGGGAGGGGAGTTTGGCAGCTGGTGGGTGCAGAGCACCCACTAATTTTTCCCCGGGGTTGGCTATGTTCCCAATACAGCCCCACACTGCTTAATTTAACCTGGTTTCTACTGATACCATTTGCTTTTCTCTGTCTCAGTGCACCCGCTGTGCTCATCTTCCTCTCTATCCCGACCTACCCCTCCTCTTCTCCAACCCGCCACTCCCATGGGTGGGGGGTAATGGAGGCTGGGGGACTCCAACCTCTGTTAATGCTCCCCGTCGCAGCCCTGGGGCGGGCCACGGCAGGGCTCAGAGCTCCCCTGAGCAGCGCAGGTTAAGGACTCAGTCCCAGCCAGCCAGCTGGGGCTCGGGGCTCCTCCAGACTGCTCAAGGCGCCAGCAGGCTATCTGAGGCTCGGGGCTGCTCCGGGGCCTGGCCAGGGCTCGGGGCTCCGCTAGTGGGCCGGCCAGTGAGAGCAGGGGGGCAGAAGGGGCCTCGGGCGAAAGGGGCGGACAGGACAGGGCAGGGCCTGGGGCAGAAGAGGCAGGGCAGGGGGCCAGCCTCCCCAAACGGCAGTGAATATGCTGCCCGTGGCCATTCCCTTCCAGTCCTCACACCTCTCCCAATCTCATCCCCCTGACAGCTCCTTCTCTCTCTAACCATAGAATCCCAGAAGTGTAGGACTGGAAGGGACATCAGGTGGTCAGCTAGTCCAGTCCCCTGCACTCAAGGCCGGACTAAGTAATAACTCGACCATTCCTGACAGGTGTTTGTCTAACCTGCCCTTAAAGCCCTCCAGTGATGGAGCTTCCACAACCATCGCCATGAGCAGCACTCTAGTCATTTGCACTGAAGAATAATCCCACTTCCCCGACAGGAGCTTCTTTTTCATGAAGCTCTGCACATAACTTATTTGCATAATGCTCTTCACTGTAGTCCTTTGTGGCAAAGGGTGTGTTGCCTTCTGTGTTTGTACAGCACCTTGCACAGTGGGGCCCTGAATGAGACTTTGGGGGACTTCCAAAATCCAAATAAATAGTATAGTGTGAATCCACCCCTACCGCACCGTACCAGTGCATTCTGGGAAAACTATCCCATAGTGCCTCAGCAAGCGATAGCCTGCCCAGACTGGCACCAGCAGCATGTGTAGCAATGCCTTCTGGGATGTCCTACCACACACATAGCTGGGAGGGAGCAGGCCTGGCCGAGCCAGTGATGCAGGCCTGGTGTGGGGGTACCATGGACACTGCAAAGGAAACGTTGTGCCAAAGTAGTTCTAGGAAAGCATCCACGGGCTGGACTAGGGTTCAGGCAGGGGTGGAACTGTTGCCATGGTTGCTAACCAAGTGTTAGTGGTGGAGGCAAGCCAACCAGGCCACTGCCTGGTTACAGACTCTACTAGCAGTTGTACTATGGACGTTGTAAGGTCAAAGGCAAAGCACCCACTGAGCCAACAGGTGACATGTAGCCACATCCACACACACAAGTCCTGCAGAGTGTCCGTCGCTGTAACTCTTAGCCATTCACTGGACACCACGGCTGCAATCGCTAGATCTGAGCCACCAGTTCTTGCCCACCTAAAGCTCCCCCTGAACACGCATCAGGCCTTGCCTAGGGGGAACTGAAAGGCTAGACCACCACCATCTGGTGCATGTGTTTTGAGAAGCTGTAGAGGGCCTTTGCGTGGAGTAACCATAACGTTACCAGCTCGTCCCCAGATGTAAATCTACAGTCCAGAATTCACCATTAGGCACAGGTGCTGACTTGTAATTTTCCCCAGGGGTGCTCCACCCCCACTCCGCTCCTTCCCCCGAGGTCCCACCCTCGCTCCACCTCTTCTGGACTCTGCTCCAACCCCTCCCCCAAAGCCCCCGCCTGCTCACTGCTATCCGCCCTCCCGCTAGTGCCTCCCCCAGCCGCAGAATAGCTGATCGGCAGCACTGCTTGAGCCCCAAAGCACCCATGGAGTCGGTGCCTGTGCCTTTAGGGCTGACCCAAAGCCCAGTGACATCAGTAGGAATAACTCTCATTGACTCAATGGGCTTTGGATTGGGACATTTCTTCTGGTGGATTCCGGAATTTGAAAAGCTCCTAGGGAGAGTTCTAACGCAGCTATTTGGCCTGGAGGGACCTGCCCCAGCCTGGCATCTCCCCAAAGTGGCCCTGTCTCTGGAATCGAATGACTGACTGTCAGGCGTCCTTCTCCTTGGTGGAGCTCACCGGGCCTGACCGACATTGGCTTGAGAGCAGCGCCTTCTATTTGGGCCAAATCCAGGCTTGGAGTAAATAGGACCATTTCCACCATAGTCCATCAGCAGGCAAAACTCCCAGATGCTTCAATGGCTCTGGGTTCAGTGATTCTCAGACTTCAGTGGTTCAGGAGCCAAATTAGCCATCAACAGTACCCACAAGAGCCCCAGGAGTGTGAATTCGTTGTTTCATTGATTATTTTTATATCTATATAATTATTCTCACAGCAAAATGGCTGACCAAGTAGTCTACAATTGGTTAATAACATAGTAAAAGCTTCCTGATTGGTTAATAACTTAGATTGGTTAATAATTAAATCACCCGGGGTTTTAATATCATGCGCTGCAAAGAGCCGCAGAAAAGAGCCACTTGTGGCTCCCCAGCCTCAGTCTGAGTATCACTGCTCTCGTAGATAGGAATCTGCACTGGGACTCCGGAGAGCTGGCCTCCAGTCCCAGCTCTGCTACTGACCAGCTGCATGACCTTGAGCCAGTCACTTCATCTCTCTGTGCTTCTGTTTCCTCTCCCACCCTTTGGCCGTCTTCTCTGTTTAGACTGGAAGTGCCTGGGGGCAGGGAGCGAATCTCACTAGTGCCTTTATAAAGCGCCTCGCACAGTGGGGCGCTGATCTTGACTAAGGCTCCTAAGCACGGCTGTCGGACCAAGGACGATAACTAGCTGAAGGCCCGTGCTGTCCCACGGGTCATTCGGAAATTCGCGTGGATCAAAGAGCTGAAAAGGGCTGAGGGCTTAAAAACTGGAGGGTAACAGACTGAATCCTAGTGCTGATTGGACCTGGTGCTAGTCTAAACACAAAGAGCTCTCAGCCAGGCGGGTGGCTGTTCCCATCCCTGACTCATGACTCAGCAGGGATCCTGCACTTCGAGGGACACCCAGACAGATTGAGAGCCCTGCAGTCTTCTTCTCTAGCTAACTAGTTGTCCCTGATGACTCTAGGCCTGGATTTGGGCTTTGAGGAGAAGGCCCAGCAGAGATGCCTGAAAAGAAGGATCATAGACACGTAGCCGGGTGTCCGTTTAGAATTTACAGACAGGATTTCCCTTTGTCCATGTCTTTATTTACAAATGTCCTCTGAACTCTATGGTCCCAGGGAGCCCTTCAGAGCAGTGAATAGCTCATAGCACTGCCCTGGGACAGGAGTTCAATTGAATTTGTGGGCTGGCTGGCTGCTTTTACTCCACTAAATTAGGGGGTTCAACCGTTTTTCATTTGCAGAGCCCTAAAAAAATTTCGAATGGAGGTGCGGACTCCTTTGGAAAACTCTGACGTAGTCTGCAGACCCTCAGGGGTCTGTGGACCGCAGGTTGAAACCCACTGCCCTAAATTAACTCTAGGGACGAAATGACCAGCAGACTGCATTTGTTACTAGAAACTAAGTCTGGGCTGAGGACTCACGCTGTTGGTTTGGATCCCTGACTTGCCCCAGTCCCTTTAGCTGCTTCATAGTCAGTGCAGCAAATAGTAACTGGACTTTTCTGAACCCAGACGTTCTGGGCCGAATTCCCTCTCATTGTCACAGATGAAAATCAGGAGTCACCCCACTGAAGTGGGTACAAAGTGGGTAGAGTCTAAAAGTGGTGTATGGGAGATCTGGATCAGGTCTCATGTAACTTAGGCTTGGCTTATCTGTTTTAAAAGGTTCTAGCCACTGTAATGTTAAAAGCAACAGAGGGTCCTGTGGCACCTTTGAGACTAACAGAAGTACTGGGAGCATAAGCTTTCGTGGGTCAGAACCTCACTTCTTCAGATGCAAGTAATGTTAAGAGTGGCCACAGTTCCTAATGGGCTTAAGTAAACCTCACGATGAATTATGTTATGTAAATATATCGTATTGTGCCAGTCTGGCATGCAACAGCACCCTGCAATGTAACACCCGCTCCCCCTGCCCCTGAGCCGAGGACAGGAAATCCAGTTCTCACCCCTGCCTGCTTTCACTGTTTGACCATAACCAAACCCCTCCTTTCAGAAGGGGAAGATCAAACACAAGGTATCCAGAACTGAGCAATGTAACATGCCAGGACTGAAGCTGTACAAACTCTATGTTCCTCTGTCCTCCCAGGACAGGGCACCAAACAATGACCAGGGTGTATAGAGGGGAAAAATCTTGCTTGTCGCTGTGAGGAGGAAGTCAGGGGTGGAGTGGGGAAGAGGAGGGAGAAATGTGGGTGACCAACTATGTGGGAAGGAGGAAGAATGAACAGGCCTTTAAAATTTTAAACAGATCCCTGTAGGGTTCCCCTCCCCCAGTTGTGTAAGGGTGGATTTATTTTCCATGCTCTGCTTTGCATTGTTCCGTTCCCCAGACAGAAAAGAACAACAAATCCTGACTCCGACTGCAGACCCTGCTTCCACAGTCCCGTCCTCTGGGGTAATTTTCTCTCTGTTGTTTTTTCCCAACTGCTAGGCACTTATTTTTTAAATAAAAACCAGTGTCAGGATTTTCCTTTCTGCTAGTAATAGCTGATCCTGCCTGAGGATGAGCCAGAAAGATCAGGAGAGCTTCAGGTAGACCCAGACTAGAGTTAAGGCCTGAGCCAGGAAGTTCTGATCTGGATTGTAAGAAGAAATCCCCCACAAAGTACAGCGCCTGATCCACAACCCTTTGGGAATCTTTACACTGAATGTAATGGGCTTTGGATAGAGAACAATGAGATGCTGTGGCGGGGCCTGACTACCCTGCCTTAACCCGGAAGGAGTTAAGCCCCAGGGACTGGCAGCGGAAGTGCCGCCTCCCCGGGCAGACTGGGCATGCGCCAAGTGCTACAGGAGTATAAAGGGAGGGAGACCAGCTCATTCTGGGCTGGAGCCTGTAGGAGAAGGAGCTGCCGGGGGAGCTCCTGCGGCGGACCAGCCACGGCCGCTGACTGCACCGGGAAGAGACGCCGTCCACGGCTCGCCTTCGCCCCGGCAATTGGAGGAGACCCAGGAGACGACCGAATCCGCCGACTACCAAGGACCCGACGACTCCTGGGAGACCCCGACGGAAAGCCTAGTAGGGGTGGCAGAGTGCTACCTCCCCCCCCCCCCCCGGGGAAACTCAGTGTGTTTTGGTCGGAACCCCCCGCTGAGTTGGTGGCAAACCATTACGCTACTGTTAGGGCCCCGGGTCGGGGCCCCCCTACTGGGGCTGTCGCACCATAATGATAAAGACTCTGGCCGCTAGGCCATGCTACCCTCCACCCGAGGGTTGCTTCCTGGACTCTGGCCGATAGGCCCTACTGCCCTGTAGCCAAGGGCCATGTTATAGACTCCTGCCATCAGGCCACGTCTCCTTGAGGTAAAGGGGACGCCATAGACTCTGGCTGGTAGGCCATGCTACCCTCCACCCGAGGGTTGCTTTCTGGACTTTGGCCGGTAGGCCCCACTGCCTTGTAGCCAAGGGCCATGTTATAGACTCCTGCCATCAGGCCGCGTCTCCTTGAGGTAAAGGGGACGTCATAGACTCTGGCCGCTAGGCCACACTGCCCTGGACTGAAGGGCTATTTTACGGACGGTGGCGGATAGTCCACGCCGCTCGCAACCTTAGGGGCATCACAGATGCATTATGGGGATTGTAGCCTTCCTCTGAAGCATCTGGTCGGAGACAATGTACCAGCTTAGATGGGTCTGTCCCTGTTGGAGATGGGCCCAAGCCGCACACTTCGAACCCTGTCCATTTGGGCTCATCTCTGCTTCTGCAAGGTGATGGTCCCGTACCCCCAGCAACTGTAGGTGCTGCCCTCTTTTCCTTGCCAGGCCTGATAGCACTGCTGCTTGTGACAATGGCATCACAGCCTGAGACGGACAGATGTGGGTCGCTCGCGGCATTCTATGCTCACACTGCCCCATCTTGGGAAGCACGTGCAGCTAGTGGGGTGTGGTTTTGATCATGCGTCTTTGATCAGTTCGTCCCTTGTGTTGATGGTGAGCTGTCCAGTGCACGTGCCGTGCATGTATCGGCCGTCCAGTGACTGGGTTGTGCTTGGTGGTGCTGCTGGCCCCGTGCTCCTGGCAGGGCCCTGTTTTACCACCTCTCTCTCAGACATAATTTTGTAGCATTGAGATGAAGATAAATTATTGTATTGTCCTTTCAGAATGACTAATGGAAATAAAATGGAGGTTCCTGTACGTCGGTCTCAGTGTGGTTCTGTTGATGCTCTCTGATGTTCTCCAAGGAAAGGGGCCATGGACGGCAGAGATGGTGCCGAGACTCAGCAATCTAGCTGAAGAACAGTTGAAAGCGTTGTTTTCATTTTTGATAGCATCGAAGAGGCTTCCATGCCCCCTCTAAGGGACTGATAAAGCAGAGTGGAGATATTTCACATACTGTACATCACTGAAATGCAGCCTCTTCTAGCACAGAAGACAGTACACAGCAGAGATTAACAGCATGGCCCATAATAGTGGGACTGGAGGGGGGATTTGGGGCAAAGACGTTAGAGCAAACTGGCTTCTCTTGCACACACACAAAAAAAGATCTCCAGTTTCTATGATCTCCACACGGAACTGAAGCTTTTAAAGAACCTGTGGTCCCAAGTGTTCTGTCACTGAAGTCAAAGGGAGTTTGAGCAGGCTTCCCCCATTGTAAAAGACAATGAGGTTGCACTGGGGTCAGTGAGGCCAGAATCTGCATTCTAAATTATCATTCAGCAGAAGGTTGGCATGGCGGGGAAACAGCTTGGCTCTCAGATCCCAGTATGAGTTTGTGGCACTGGCCTTTAGAGAAAAAAAACAATCTGTAGTTATGATCTTAGCCCGTTTGGTCTGGAGTCTCTGAGACAGGCCAGAAGCATGGAGCCTCTCAATGCCATTGTTACCCCTTCAGAGTAGAGGTGCACATTAAGATATTTCAGTGTCTGTGTGCCCGGGCCCTCTGCTGGACAGAATTAGAACTACTTAACTGCATGTCATAAGCCTTATACTGCTGTAGCGAATGGCGCTTCCCCTTCAGCTCCTGTAGTAGGAGGCCTGTGCTTTTGAATTCAATGCCCTCTGCTGCTGTGATGTTCTGAATGGCCATGACACAGAACTAGGAAGCCACCGACTTATTTCACTATTGACAAAATAGCTGACACTGGCTATGGGGTCCTTTTTGGGCTGAATGTCTTCCCTGGGGTCTGGGAGAGGAATGTCCTTGTGCACCCCGGAAGCCCTGGGGTTGATGGCTGCCCAGGGAGAGGCTGGATCGAGTGCTGAGTTTAACGCTGAAAGCCTAGTTGGTTTCATTTTTTATTGCTTTAGAAGAGCAAGTGTAAGAGCTGGGTTTGTCCATACAGGACAACAGCTAAGGCCTGGTCCACGCTATCTGTTCTGATTCAGTAGCAAATCCTCCGACTGGAGACGCTGCTTGTACTGGCAAGAGTTCTGCTGCAGGTGTAGCTTATACCAATTTCCTGAGCGAAAGCTGCTCTACGGCAACAGGCCTTTTTGCCACTAAAAGTGCATCTACACTGGGACTTGTGCTGGCCCAGCTCTGATGGTTAGGGGGGATTTCCCCCCCCTTTCCTAACTGCCACAGCTATGCTGCTGAAACTTTGATGCGTAGCCCGGGTTTCAGAGAAGGGCGGGTGATTTTGAAGGTCTGACTAAATGGATTTGAGCCCGATGGGAGCGAGAGCCCCTGAGGATGACGGCCTGTTTTTCCCACAGACCAGAGAGCTCCCCCCCACACGCACACACAGACACAGCCCTGCCATATGCATCAGCCCAGGTGGAAGGAGCTAGGCTAGTCCCCGCTACTTGTGCATTCCTTGGCCTCTCTCCACAGCCTGCAGCTATGGACTCCTGGCCTGGGCCCCATCCCTGTTTGCTAAGCACCTTCTCTCCCCTTTCTCTAATCTTTGTCAAACCCGCTTCTTTCATGGGTCCCCTCTTGGTTGGTCACTTCACCAGTGGGTTCTCCCACATGCCTCCTACCCAACCATTGCCCTCTGGGTGGTCCTGTTGTGAGAGTGTAAGCTCCTGGGGGCAGCCACCAGGTCGGTCTCTCTGTGGGTGGTGGAAACTGCCAGGAATATAGAAATAATTCCTGCTCCTTGGGCACAATCTGCACCCTGAGCTTGGAGGTGAAAGGCTCCACTTCCCACCACAGATCCCTGGACCCAACCATTTGCCCAGAAGGAATGCTACATTTGGTAGCAGACTTGCACACAAACAGGGGCTGGAGGAAACTTATTGAAGAGAACCTTATTTGTTCAGGCATACGGGGGAAAGAAGAACCTGTGATATAACAGCAGAGTGCTTCAAACGGGGTTCATTCCTGTGGAGGGGATGTGTATTTCAGAAGCTCCTCGGTGACTAACAGCAGGCAGGGAATCATCTAGCCCTACACATCTCAGTATGAGAGTCTGCCCATCTTCTCCCACAATGTCCAGCCTCTGCCCTCTTCCAGACAGAACGTCAGGCCTGCTTGGGATGGAAGTGAATGTCACCCCCTAGCAGTGGCAGCCTACAAAAGGGTATAATCCTTAATACTATTCCACAAGAACAAATTTGGATTGCTGCTAGTGATTTTCTATGCACCATCATTAGCAGCGGTGAGTTGGGCAGTGTTGCATGACTACACTGCTGTCTAAAACACATACGGTGCTTTTGAACTCTTGTGGAAATTTGTCCAGTTCCAATACCGGGTTAGGAATACGGAGCAGTACTGGAGCCACAGGTACCTTAGGTTTCTGTTCAGTAACCCCTTGGTCCAACTCTAAGGTACATCACCAACTGGCTCCACATGACTCTCCAGCAAACCTTTTTTAGAAAGTGCCAGAGAATTGAACAAGCACAAAGGGTCCCAATTATCCATTATAACTAGTTCTTAATGGTGCATGGCACAAACACTCAATGAGTTACTGATTAAAGGCTGGATGAGAATGGACCAGGGCTGTAGTAACCTACCCCAGGCTTTCTGATGGGTTTTCTATCCTGCTGGCTTTTGCTGGTTAAAATGTAACTAAAGCACAGCTCACACAGCATTTTTTTTTTTAAAGGAGCAATCTTCATAGGAAACCTCTCTTCAAAGGTTTCATTTGCCTCTCATGAGCTGGAAGGAGAAAATGCGAGGGGCACCAAACACAGAGGTGCACTCTGATTACATTGCACTTGTGTTGTCCCGTGAACAGGAGCATCCACTTTGTTGTGGCAAAGCACTGAGATTAGGGGCATGCAAATACTTGCCTCTAACAGAGTAATTGACATCTATGGGACTGTTCCCAGGAGTACAGACACCACTTCCGAATAAGGGGTCCAGGATCAGGCCCTGGGTTAGTGACAGAGCCAGGACTAGGGAGCCCAGGAGTCCTGCCAACCATAGACCACACTCCCTCTACTTGTGTTGTAGTCAGCACCACAATTACCATTGACTTTAATGGGAGCAGGTTTGAGCCACTCCAAAGATTCATGGGGTTGGAGAAAAGATTAAGCAGAATTAGCTAAAATACTTAGAACAACAACAACAAAGGGGGGGGGAGGGACCCTGACAGTGAAAACCTAACTCACTTTCCCACATACTTTCTAAGTGAAAGAAACACTACCTAAGATCTGACACTGCCGGTGTAGAAGCAGGTTTCAGAGTAGCAGCCGTGTTAGTCTGTATCAGCAAAAACAAGGAGTCCTTGTGGCACCTTAGAGACTAACAAATGTATTTGGGCACAAGCTTTTGAGGGGTAGAACCCACTGCAGCTGATGAAGTGGGTTCTAGTGTAGAAGCAGTCATCTTTCCCAATGTCCAGTAGGGGGTGCAACACTGTCAGGTTTGGAAAGAGTCCTGATAAAAAAATCTATAGTGTCGAGAACTAACTTTAATAGAGAAACCAAAGCCCTGCACAGAATGAAGATGTAATTGGTTTGTGTCCCTCTAGCAGGTTACTCAGGCCTCTTGCCCATTTCCTGTTTTCCTTCTGGTCCATCTCCATCCAGCAGCCCAACCTGCAGCATGTCAGGGCTCCAGGAATGAGGGGCGTGAATTCTGCCTCCCTCACCACCTCTCCACGCAATGTTGTGGGGGCCACAGCACGGCCCACTGGCTGGCTGGGTTAGCGGCGTAAGTGCAGCCCCAGGGCTGACCTCTTCTTAAAACAGACCAGTGAGGACAGAGTGGTCTCTTACCATGTGTCTGTACAGTGCCTAGCAGAATGGGGCCCTGATCTCCGCTGTGGCCCCTTGGCACTCCTGTAACATATTTAATCATACAATCTGTTAGCTCGCAGGCTTTTAATTCTGGGGAACGGGAGCACCAAGCAATTTCCATTTGGCTATCAGGAGCGGTGCTCGGCTGAGCAAATAAGACAGCTGCAAATTGGGCTCAGTTTGTGGGATCCTGTGGCCCACCCCTGCTCCATCACCTTCCTGCTATGCAGATCATGACCTTGAAGGGAACTCTTCACTGGATCCTGGGAGCAAGGAGACGGATTATGCAAAGGATTCCCCAGCAACAGTGAATTCCATAACATTATCAGGCCTTTAATGTCACCAGAATGGGGAGGCTGTAGCAGGGGATGGAACCAGGGGCCTCTCCTTTTGCTTCCCTATCCCTTTTCTAGTCATCTACCCTGGCCTCCTCTAGGTCCTTTAGCCATGATGCAAGACCTTCTTCCTTTGTATCTCTCCCCACCCGGACGAGCCTTCCTCTGCCCCACAGCAATTCACTGATGCTACCCGTTTTCCAGTCTCAGCTCACAGCATTTCAGCCGGGGCGACCCATGAGAATTTCCCTGTTCACTTCGAGGGGAAGTCCAAGCCCAGAGGGAACTTGTGTACCAACCAACCAACCAAAAAAGGAATAAAATAAACTGTACAGACCGAATCCTAATTATTGTAGTCAATGGGTGCTGCTGAAGGCCTCCGTGTTAGGTGCTGTCGGAGAAAAACAGTGCCTATGTATGGATTTAGGAGCCCAACTTCAGGCACCTTTTTTCAAAATCTTGGCCATGATTTTGGTGTCTTTTAGCTAGAGACATTGTTATTATTTGTCTTGTAGTAACACCTATGAGTGCCAGCCACCCCACTGTGCTAGGCGCTGTACAACCAAAAAAAAAAAAAGAGACAGTCCCCCACCCCCAAAGAACTCACAATCTAAGTCAATTATGGAGCTATTAGTACTATGAATATTCATTTGCATTGTGGTAATACCCAGCAGCAGCATTCCAGACTGGGGGCAGGGGTGTACAATTATATAGCAAAAGCTATTCCAGGCCCTGAAAAGCTGACTGTGTATGTATGAAAAACCCCTTTTAAAAAGGCACTGGCAGAGTTCATTGTTGATTAAAAAGGGGGAGGGGGACATCATGAAACTGTCAATGTCCCTGGTTCTTCCCTGCACTGGAAAACTTGGCAGAAAAATGTTATCAGCGTTTCCAAATCTGAAAAGTCACTGCTTTCTCAGCTGCCTCTCCGGGCACTGAAATCCACAGAAGATAGGAACCCAAGACCTCGTGCCTTGTGATTGTTTTTATGCTTAGGGGAAATCCACCCCTTCAAAACAAGTAAAAGGCCTTAAAATATTTAAATTCTTGCCCTGTCTTCCTGAAAGGCTCAGAGGGAAGTTAAAAAAAAGGGGCAGGGGAGATTTGATCTCCAGTCTAAACACATTTAGTATATATTTAAAAAGTATGAGATCTGTAGCCAAAGCAGAACCAAAAGATTTAACATGTGAACACACTGGAAAATAAAAGGCATACCGGGGACTCATAGGAATTCATCGTTACCGTATTTCCTCTCTCCTCATGTTCTTTTTCTGGTAAAATTACTCAAGCCTTGTTCCCAGACTTTCCTTCAGAGACCACCCCCTCATTTCAAGAAACCACGCCTCTTAAGGAAAGTTTATTTGCCTGCAACAGAACAAAATAAAGGGAGGAAGAAATTTAAGCCAAAAAATAATAATTGAAAAAAGAAGGGATGAGGGCTTGTCTCCATGTGGCAAGGCAAGTGGGCCGCTTTGGCGTCTGATCAAGAGATGCCTTCGGATTTCGTGCGGCGGGGAGATGTCGGTGCGGCGGCTGGGTACAGGGGATGAAGTCGGATTGGAAAGGGGGCCACTTCCTTTCACCGACATGGATCGGCCGCTGCAGCGGGGAAAGTGCCACTGAAGTTTGCCGCCTGCTCCCCCCCCCCAAAGAAAACCCACCCCTTCGAGCTGCCTGGGAATCACCTCGGAACCGGAGCAAAGGGGGAAAGGGATCACGCCGCGATCCGGGGCTTTGGGGAAGGGCGCGTTTGCAATCCCCCCACCCCCCGGATTTGCCGTGGGAAGTGGAAGTTGCCTCCAACTTCGCAGCGCCGCGGGGACCCTGGATGGCGGAGGGCGGCGTGCAGGGGCCGGACTGCTCGCCGGAGCGGGTTTAGGGCTGGAGCACAGGGGAGGAGAGGAAGGGGGGGAGGCCGAGAGAAGGGGGTGGGTGGGCTGAGCGCGGTGTGTATATACAATGGCGGAGGGGGAGGCCGAGGGGACAGCTCCCCTCTGCCGGAGCGTCTCCTTCAAGCGGCTGGAGCGGTGGCTGGAGGCAGCGGCGGAGGGGGAAGGAGCCCGGCAGCCGCCCTGCCAGTGCCAGCCCCCCGGCGCCAGGGCGCAGCAGCAGCAGGACTCGCCGCAGCGCCGCCGGCGATCGCCCTCCAGAGCCGCCTCCAGCGGCCTCTCCAGGAAAGTTTCCAAGCTCTCGGCCGCCGCCTGCCCCTCCCCGGAGCTCCGGGGCAGAGCCCTGCGGAGCCTGTCCCCCTCCGTCCGCCAGCTCTCCCAGCGCTTCGACGCCGCCGCCGGGGCGGCTCCCCCGCCAGCCCCCCGCAGCTCCCAGAGCGAGGAGGAGCCGGACGAGGACGGGGCCACCTGCTGCCCGCCCCAGCCCGGGAAGAGGGAGGCTCGGCCGCCGCCCGATGAGGAGGGCGGGGGGCAGCAGCGCGGCCAGGGGCTGAGCGAGCCCCCCAAGGCGGGGGAGGCCGGACTGGAGCCGGGGGGGGCTCTGGCCCAGCGTCACCGAGATGCGCAAACTCTTCGGGGAGAGCTTTCGGCGGCAGCCCCCCGGCCGGGCCCCGGAGGAGGAAGGTGGGGCCCGCTCCCTGCACGGAGCCGGCAGCTCGGCCGCCGCGGGGACTCCCCCGGCGGGGCTCGGGGCGCCCCGGCCGGGCACGGACAGCCCCCCGCTCCCCAGCAGCGCCCCCGCTCCGGCCAGGAGGGAGGAGGAGCGGCTCCGCGCCGGCCCCAAGCAGCCCCCTCCTCCCCCGCCGCCCCGCAGCTGCATTCCCTACCCCGGCCTGCTGCGAGCGCACCCGCTGCCCTGCGCTCCGTCCGGCGGGGAGGCCAGGCGGCAGCACCAGCACCAGCACCAGCCGCCTTGGGATAGTTTACATTCCTGGCATAGTTCTTCCAAACCACAGGCTGCCCCCCCGCCCTCCACCACCTCCTCTGCTGGCTGCAACCTCCTCCAAGAAGAGAGCTCCAGCCCCCAGGAATTGCTGCCCGCTCACAGCTTCCCCTTCCCTGGCAGCGCCAACAGCAAGCATGGCCCCTGCGGGGGCAGGCCCAGGTCCCTGGAGAGGTCCTCGGGGAGTGAGGAGGAGGGGAACCAGTTAGTGACCCCCAGGAAACGCTCTGTCCGGAAGAAAAAGAAAGACCTGGGCCTTTGGGACCATGAGTCCGACAGTGACGGGCTAGCGGGAATGGAGGCCGTGCCAGGGCGGCCCCCCCGGACTCATGAGGTCCTGGCACACCTGCCTCTTCCTACGAACGATGGAGCCAAGCCGCCCTCGGTGGCAAAGAGGCTGGTAGCAGCAGATTGCAACAGTGGGAACACCTTTGCCGCCCTGCTGGGTGAAGCCAAGGCAGTGGGCAGCGCCGAAGGGCACCGGCAGTACATGAGGGGCATGTCAGAAGGCGTGTCCACTGCTCACTTCCCGCTGGCCACAGCGCCACCTGTACCCCTGGTCTCCCGCGTCTCCAAAGTGAACATCCCGCCTTTCGGGCCAAGCCCTTGCGGGTCGAGAAGCAGCAGCAGGTACTCGAGCACTGAGACGCTGAAGGAAGAGGACCACTTTGGGCCCTGCTGGCCCAGCCAAAGCCGGAGCTTCCAGGGGGGCCTCGGCATGTACAGATCTCCCAGCTTCAGCCAAAGCGACAGCCTCACCAGGCTTCAGCAGCAGGTCCGGGTGCGTCCTAAGCTGCCCATGGGCATCGGCAAAGTGAAACAGGACCTTTCCGGTGAGATTCTGCTCCACAGTGGACCTGAGGCCGAGCGAGCCAAGCACAGGAAGTCCATGTCCAATCCTGACATAGCCACGGAGACTCTGACTCTCCTCAGCTTCCTGAAATCGGATCTCTCCGAGCTGAAGGTGAGGAAGAAAGGTGGCGGGGTCAGTGATCAAGAGGAAGGGGCCTTCAGCAGTGGCAGGAGTGAGAACTACCAGAGCCCAGCTGGGCACCAGCTGGGAGGCAGAGGCCGAAGTGTGGCACAAACCCCAAACCGGTGGGCACTAGGCGTCCGCCCAACTCTCAAAGACCTCACCGCAACCTTACGCCGGGCCAAGTCATTCACCTATTCTGACAAACCGGCGCCACGCAGACTCTTCCTCCAGAGCTCCATGAAGCAAAGCTCCTCGGAGCTTCTCCTGGCCAGCAGCAGCGACCATGACAGCGTGGTTTCGGACGGTGATGCTGGCCAGAGAGAGGACGTTGACGGGCTCCCGGTCGTTATCCAGGATCAGTATATTCAGGAAGCACGGCAAGTCTTTGAGAAGATAAGTCGGATCGGCTCCCAGCACGACTACGGCTTTGTGTCAGATCAGAAGGACCGCGCAGGTGTGAAAAGTGGCAGGGAGTTTACAGAGAACCAGAAGGAAGCCGATGCGGCCCTTCTGAGTAGCAAAGAGCACAAGCAGTGTCTGAAGAAAGAAGAGTCTGAAGAAAACCTCTCCTGTGGGAAGTCCATGGAGGAGCTCTCGGGTCATGAGTCTAGCATGACCGATGAAGGCATCGTGACGGAGCCTGAGATGGGTCCCACCAACGCTGCTTATGGGGATCTCCGTCAGGCTGTCGCAGCGTGGACACCAGCCAACGCCGGCCTAGGGGAGGGTGACACTGATCGAATGAACAGTAAAGATATTCCTCTCCCTGGGCTCGCAGCTAGAACGAACCATGAGGGTGCTGCTGTTGATGACGCCCTTCCTGGTAAAGCCATGGCCCAAGGGTCCCTAGAGGCACCTTCCACCCCAAGCACTCTGCGGCGCCGAAGGAAGTTTCCCTCTGTTGGCAACAACTGGTCTGATTCCAGCAACGGGGAATCCAGTGGCGAAGCCTACAGATCCCTAAGCGACCCCATGCCCCACAGGAGGTGCTCGATCACAGAAGAGACCGAGAACTTCTCAGTGGACAGTAATCTCCTAGGGTCCCTGAATTCCAAGGCCGGTGTCCCAGAGTCTTTGGCCATGGCTCTGTCCGAGTGCACCGGCAGCGCTGCCAGCGACCTGTCCGTCTGTAGCGATGGAGTCAAGGATTACAACACGGTGATCCAGAACATTGTTAGCCAGCCCGGCGCCATGGACAAGGTGATCGACGAGCGGGGAAATGGTAAGACAGTCAAGAAGAAATCGTTCAGCGACCCCAGCCGTCGCAGTGAGTTGGCCAGCGCAGGCTTTGAGGGCCCCAGCGAGCCAATCAGTGAGATGGACCAGACCATCCCGCCTTCCAGCAGTGAACCCATCCTCTCTGAGCAAAGGGACGAGGTAGGGGAGCTGGAGGAGCTAGGCCAGGAGGTTGAGAAGCTGCGCTCTCAGTCTGAGCACATCCTACCTGCAAAGGCAGGAGGCAACAATGCAGGAGAGGCCGCTCAAAGCTATAGCTTTGACCCCAAGCTGGCAGAAGTCCTGTCCCCCAGGATCATCAGGCGCAGTTCCAAGAAGCGCACCAACCGGGTGACTCACCAGGAGAATCATGAGACTGCATCCTCTGCCACAACTCCTGCTACTACCCTGAGTAGGTCCAGGCCTGCATCCAAGCATGTCCGGCACACTAGCGAGCCTGCCGCTTTCCTCCCCATCTCAGCACCTGAGCCTCATGGGTCGCTCAGTCAAAACGTCCATGTAACTGTGCCAGAATCTTCACCTCTCCCCATCAAATCCTACCCTGTACTCCAAGCTCCATCCTTGGAGGATGTCACCAAGCAATACATGTTGACTCTTAACTCAGGGGACTTGTCTTCTGGTGGCACTGTGGATATGCCCAGGTCTTCGCCTGCTACACCAACTACTTCAGAGCCCAAGCTGCTGAGATGTCCAAAGCAACAGGAGGAACACAGCCCGAGCAGCACCAAGAGCAAGCCTCAAGTGGTAAGTGCTCCTGGTTTTAAGATGCTCTAGCTTAGGACCTGATCCAAAACCCAGTGAAGACAATGGAATTTTTTTCTTTGTCTTCAATGAACTTTGGATCTGGCTCTTGGGGGGCCAAATTCTCCTTTCATTAACACCGTTGTAAATCTGGAGGAACTCCATTGACTTCAATTAAGTTACTCCAGACAAATGAGATCAGAATCCAGAATCTCTTGGCTGGCGGTGGGTTTTTTTTGTTTGTTTTTATTTTTTTGCCTTGAATGTTGAACAAAAGTTGCCTTTTCCTAGTCTATAGGGAACTTGTGTAGCCTTTTTCTTTCATTATTATCCCTGATATCCTGCCCATCGTACTGTAGCTCAAGAACACATCAATTGTTTTAAATATATATATATAAAATCTTGAAATTCCTACCTGTGGGAATCTGTTTAACAGGAATAAATGCAGCTCTTTCCCCCCCTACAGCTGAGATTCTTTTTGCCACTTCAGTTTTATTCAGGCTTGTTGATAATTTGTGACATTGCTAAGGGCTTCAGAAATAAAACAGACCTTTTTTTAAAAGTATCAAAATCAGGGAAAACTAAAAAAAAAACAAAAAAGTTTGTTGCATATTAATGATAACCAAGGTCAGCATCCTGTTCCCATAGTAATTAATGAGGATTTTGCCTTTGGCATTAGTGGAAATAGAATCGGGGCCCAATGTTACTACCAGACTGCAAATTGGTATTCAGGGAAGTTGATTTCTAGCTACAAACCACATCCCTATGTTCTGGTCTGTTTGTTCCCTTCCTGGTTGAAATCTCTGTCAGGGTGGAGTGTTCTGTGAAATACCCGTTGCTCTGATCTGTTTGATGGAAATATTGAGTACATTAAGATGTCTCTGATGTGCTGGAGGATTACATTGGATGCAGAAAGATTTTTCCGGGTGGCATAGGAGAATTTGGAGAAGACCGCCAATCTAGCTTGAATCACGTGACTTTCCGACGGGAGAAAGGGGCTGAGAAATCTCAACAGCACTGTCTTCTGAAAGGTGCTTTGAAACAGTTCAATATTATTAAAACAGAATCTGCATTGTGGGCGAGATTTGCAGTTGACTTGATCTAAAGTTCCCTTGAAGTTGCATAGGCGAGTTTTGTTTCTTCTTTCACTCCTATAATCGGAAACGATCATTGTGGCTGGTGTTGCGGTCTGCTCGTGTCACTTTTTACCTAGTAAAATCTCTTCTTTTGGGGGGGAGCAGGGGTGTGTGTGTACCTTTGCATGGTTTGTTTACGAGAGCTGAATGCCGTGTTCACCAGAGCATAAACTATCTACTAAATTGGCAACAACTGTTCTCTTGCTCCATTGTATTTGCCCCTAGTCATGTGGTTTGGGTTTTTTTTTTTTTTACTTTTCTTTCAGTGGTTTTCTTGCAAAGGCATTTGAGTTTTAATTGTGTAATGTGCTACTAGAATTGTGAGAGCCTGACCATGCCTTACTGATTTATGGGATCGTTACTCATCAGTGTGGAGCGACTACTACTGATGTAATGCTTTCACTTTTACCTTTGGCTTCTTCCCGCCACCAATCTCCGCATTTGTTTGCTTTTCATTACCTGTTGTCTCTCATCATATGCTTCGGTTGTAAGCCCTGTGGGGCAGAGACTGCCTTTGTAAAGAGGCTGTGATCCTTTGATTGGGGCCACCCTAAATAATAGTCCGGTGGAGGGCTACACGATCCGGCCTTGTGATGACTGTCTCAGTCTGAAACAATGGGCAGGCGGAAATCCCACCTCCTGTGTCTAGTGGGCAATTCATTCGCCCATGCTGTCAGCGGTTGAACAGCTCTTCATTGGTAACCGTGGGCTGGCTCCGTGGCTGGTGGAAATGGGAGTGAATCCAGCCCATCCAGAGATGTTCATTACTGAGGAGCGTGGGGGGGGGGGGAAGGGAACAGTCTTGTCACGTTGAAAAGCTTTTGCAGGAGAAGAGTTTACCACTGTTCTGGTGTGTGATTTATGGATGCTGGTAGATTGCCCAGTCCCACGTTGGAAAAATTAGCAGCAGCCAAGCAAGAAGTGACCGGCAGCCAAGCTGCTGGCTGGGGCAGGTAGTTGTCTGCAACCCTGAAAGGTCATTGCTAGGGACTGAGTTGTTTCTTGATAGAGTGAGGAGCTGACACTGCCTTCTGTCCGAGTCACCTGACTGGGAAGAACCAAGGAGTCTTAAGTCTTGTCAGATGTTTCAGTTTTGTTTGATCTTGGCAAGTGCTGTGTGGTTTGTTCTGTTTCTTTGGCAATGGCTGGAAGGGAGCAGAACTGGTATCTGCACTAATTGGAGCAGTCTGTTTTTCTGAAAGAGACTGGGGGGAGCTGGCGCTCCGTTGGTTAGTGTCTCATTGAATGAAGTGTGTGAGTGCGCGCCTGGGCATAAAAGAGAGAAGGGTGGATGGGTGGCTACAGAGGATTCTTACTGGATATTAATTTTTACTTGAGTTGGGTTCAAATCAAAACCCCAGATCCAAACAACCTCAACTTTGGGCAAATTCAGACCCAGATCTGGACTTTTTCTGTGACCCACCTTGCAATAATGGGCCAAACCAAATCCCCCCAGCTCCAAACACCCTTGTGCTTTAGGAAAGTTTGGATCTTGATAAAGATCCAGATTTGCCCCTGGACCTATAACAAGTCTGGACAAAAACAGCCCTGATCTTTGTAGCTTGGGCCTTCCTCTGAGTTGTACCAAAAGCTCAGCAGCTGTGTTCAGTCATTTGAGTTTTGGTTTAGGGACAAGTTTGCCTTGAGCTGAATCAGAAGGAACTCTCCATCCTTTCCCCCCACCCTCCGCCCAACCGCGTTCTCCTCTACCCTCTGTGTTCTCCAGTATTAAACTCCTGCCGCTTTCCTTTGTCAGGACTCATTCCAAATTATATATATGTTAGTCTCATTCCTAAAGATTGTTTATTATAAAGTACCTGCAAGGAGGAGTAGCCCGGGCAGCTACAAACAACCGTCTGAGACAAATGATCTTATCTCTAAGTACTGTCTAGAGATTTCAGATTGGAGAGGTTTGTTCTGGGATTGAACCTCGAGGTTGAGCTTGAATAGAAAAAAGTTCCTTCACTCTCTCCTGGCGAGGCATGTTTAGCAGTATCTGTACCTAGTTATCATCAGATGGGTCCTGCGAGGAGCTGAGCACCTACGGCCTGGTGAAGTCCGTGGGAGTTAAGGGCACCATGCCCAACAGTGGAATCCCCTTTTTTCATAATATTATCCAGAGATCAGGACAAAAGCCCCGTTCTGGCTGTTTGTGCTGGATGTTAGGAGACTGTTCCTAACCCAGCTGCTTAGAATGAATTTTAAGATGGGTCATTTACGGGTGTCTTTATCAGGAGCCGCAGTGACTTTAGGAACGAGTAAAGGAGCCGCAAGGAGTGAATTCGGGCCAAGGTCCACAAGGTATTTAGGCTCCTAACTTGGAGCCTAAATACCTTTGCGGATCTGGGCCATAGCCTCCAACCTTTAGCGTGGCTAATAATAATAGTACTTATTTTCTAAGCACTGGACGACTTTGAGGCCAGTCCATTGTTCCTTGGGTACCCAGACCTGCTGCTGACCTCAGGATGCAGGATTAGGCCCTCAGACTAATTATGCCTCACAACACCGCTGTGAGGCTGGCAGGGGGAGTTTTATGATCCCCATTTTACAGATGGGAAAACTGAGATTTGTTCAAGGCCGTAGAGGGAGTCCAGTGCCAGAACCCTATTGAGAGTGCAAGGGTTCCTAGTGCCCAGGTCTGTGCTGCAGCCAATGGAATCTCATCTTCTGTCTCCACCTCCCCAGCCAGGAGTGGTGCTTTTCCAGCAATTGTTGCTTTTATTTTCACCCCTCTTGGGCCCGATTGCTTGTGTGCTACGCCCAGGGTCAAAGCACTCCGGCAATGAGAGCAATTTACACCAGATCTGCAGCGTAACTCTGCTGCGGTCTCTTGCCCCGAACTCAGTGTTGTGCTCAGACAGGCGCTGCGCATTTTTGGCAAAGTGGGTGCGGCCAGGAGGGAAGTAGGTTGGAGCCAAGGGGCTTCTTTAAGGCTACATGAAACAGCCGGGGGCTGCTTTAAGGGCTCTCCAATGTCCCTCCCAAATCTTTTGCTGGACAGTGGGGTGGGGGAACTTGGTGTTCTCTATAGTGATGCCGGACATGAGAAGAGAAGGTGAAAGGATGAGCTGGGCCTTTAAGGGGATCAAGTCCCTGCTCTGCCCTGGGCCTAGAAATAAGAGGCAGGTCCTTTTTCCTAGTAGGCAGGAGATTTGGTATCTGAGCGGCATTCTGGGGCCAGTGTACCAAGAGGGAGCTAGGAATGGGCCACGCGAGGGGCTCAATGAAAGGGGTCCAGGAGTCAGGCCAAAGTCAGAACGTGGCCTGGAGAAAAGTGAAGTGGAATCGGGGTTTCTGGTGTATGGTCCTTGGGCCAGAGATTGGGGTAGAGGGCGAGCTTGGCTCCCCCTATCGTGCCACCAATAGGAGGTGGAAAACCCCACAAGCCAGGGTAGGGAGCTGTGGCCTTGGGAGGCCAGTGTCTGTGACGTCGGTGAGCCCGATACTGGAATACCGTGGACAGTTCAGGGGTGCACATCGTAAAAAGGATGTTGGAAAGTGTGCTGCGAAGAACCACGGGAATGATGCCAAGGCTGGAAAAAAATGCCTCGCAGTGAGAGACGTAAGAATCTTAAAAAGAAGATGGAGAGGTGGCTTGATTAGTGTATCAGCACCTTCATGGGGAGAAAATACCAGCTAGCAAAGGGCTCTTCAGTCTAGTGGAGAAAGGCAGATCAAGAAGGAATGGGTAGAAGCTGAAGCCAGACAAATTCAGGGCAGAAATGAAGTGCAAATTTTTGAACCGTGAGGACAGTTAACCACTAGAACAAACTACCAAGGGAAGTGGTGGATTTGCCATCTTGTGATGTCTTCAGATTGAGAGGGGCTGTCTTTCTGGAAGTTTTGCTTCAGTCAAACACAAGTTGT